CAATAAAAAAAAAAAAAAAAAATGCCGTTACTGCAACAGCTATCAACAGCCACGTGAAATCGAACGAAATCGAGCGAAATCGAGCGAAAAAGTGAAACAAAATGAAACATTCTGAAACTCATCCGGTCCCTGCCTCTCCGTGTGCACGCGTGTATGTGCGTTTGTACGTGTGTGCGTATGCGGATGGTGGTGTGCGTGTCGGCCCGTCATTTGCATGTGTCCCGGGGGTTTGTACGTGACTGTATCATCATCCGCGTCTGGACCAGCAGCATCCCATCCCATCCCAGCATCCCATCCTAGCAGCATCCCAGCATCCCAGCATCCTAGCTCCCAGCATCTAGCATCCCATCCCAGCATCCTAGCATCCAGCATCCTAGCATGCATCCTAGCATCCTAGCATCCCTGCATCCTAGCATCCCTGCATCCTGCATCCTCCTAGCATCCCAGCATCCTAGCATCATCCTAGCATCCAGCATCTGCATCCTAGCATCCTAGCATCCCAGCATCCCATCCCGCATCCAGCATCCAGCATCTCCCAGCATCCCATCCAGCATCCCAGCATCCTAGCATCCCAGCATCCTAGCATCCCTGCATCCCAGCATCCCAAGCATCCTAGCATCCCAGCATCCCAGCATCCAGCATCCCAGCATCCCTAGCATCCTCCAGCATCCAGCATCCTCCCAGCATCCTAGCATCCCAGCATCCCAGCATCCTAGCATCCCAGCATCCCTGCATCCTAGCATCCCAGCATCCCAGCATCCCGCATCCCAGCATCCTAGCATCCAGCATCCCAGCATCCCTAGCATCCAGCATCCAGCATGCCCTGCATCCCAGCATCCTAGCATCCCAGCATCCCAGCATCCTGCATCCTAGCATCCCAGCATTCCTAGCAGCATCCAGCATCCTAGCATCCCAGCATCCAAGCATCCCAGCATCCTAGCATCCAAGCATCCCAGCATCCTAGCATCCGCAGCATCCAGCAATCCTAGCATCCCTAGCATCAGCATCCCTGCATCCTAGCATCCAGCATCCCGCATCCCAGCAATCCCAGCATCCTAGCATCCCAGCATCCAGCATCCAGCAGTAGCATCCCAGCATCCCAGCATCCTAGCATCCCAGCATCCTAGCATCCTAGCATCCCAGCATCCCAGCATCCTAGCATCCTAGCATCCCAGCATCCCAGCATCCAGCATCCTACATCCAGCATCCCAGCATCCTAGCATCCCTGCATCCTAGCATCCCTGCATCCTAGCATCCCAGCATCCTAGCATCCAGCATCCAAGCATCCAGCATCCTAGCATCCTAGCATCCCAGCATCCTAGCATCCCCAGCATAGCATCCGGCATCAGCATCCCAAGCATCCTAGCATCCCAGCATCCTAGCATCCAGCATCCCTTCCTAGCATCCAGCATCCTAGCATCCTAGCATCCAGCATCCCAGCATCCAGCATCTGCATCCTAGCATCCCAGCATCCTAGCATTCCTAGCATCCCCAGCATCCCTGCATTCCTAGCATCCTGCATCCCCTAGCATCAGCATCCAAGCATCCCAGCATCCAAGCATCCCAGCATCCCTGCATCCTAGCATCCCAGCATCCTAGCATCCCAGCATCCTAGCATTCTGCATCCCAGCATCCCGCATCCTGCATCCCATCCCAGCATCTAGCATCCCTGCATCCCATCCTAGCATCCCAGCATCCTAGCATCCTAGCATCCTAGCAGCATCCCATCCAGCATCCCATCCAGCATCCAGCATCCTAGCATCCTAGCATCCCAGCAAAGCATCCTAGCATCCCAGCATCCAGCATCCAAGCATCCCAACATCCTAGCATCCTAGCATCCGCATCCCATCAGCATTCCCAGCATCCCGCATCCTAGCATCCGCTTCAGCATCCTCCTCCCAGCATCCCAGCATCTAGCATCCAGCATCCAGCATCCCAGCATCCAGCATCCCAGCATCCCTAGCATCCCAGCATCCCAGCATCCCGCATCCCAGCATCCCAGCATCCAGCATCCCAGCATTCCTAGCATCCCAGATCCCAGCATCTTAGCATCTCCGCATCCCGCATCCTAGCATCCGCATCCTAGCATCCTAGCATCCCATCCCAGCATCCTAGCATCATCCTGCATCCCAGCATCCTCAGCATCCCAGCATCCCATGCATCCCTGCATCCTAGCATCCTAGCATCCAGCATCCCAGAGCATCCTGCATCAGCATCCAGCATCTAGCATCCTAGCATCCCAGCATTCCTGCATCCTCCCAGCATCCAGCATCCAGCATCCCGGCATCCTAGCATCCCTGCATCCTAGCATCCCAGCATCCTAGCATCCCAGCATCCCAGCATTCCCTAGCATCCAGCATCCCAGCATCCAGCATCCCTGCATCCTAGCATCCCAGATCCCAGCATCCTTCAGCATCCTAGCATCCCTGCATTAGCATCCCAGCATCCTAGCATCCTGCATCCTTAGCATCCAGGATCTGCATCCCAGCATCCCAGCATCCCAGCATCCAGCATCCAGCATCCCAGCTAGAATCCCAGCATCCTAGCATCCCTGCATCCCAAGCATCCCAGCATCCCAGCATCCCGAGCATCCTAGCATCCTAGCATCCTAGCATCCTAGCATCCCTGCATCCCAGCATCCTAGCATCCCAGCATCCTAGCATCCCAGCATCCCAGCATCCTAGCATCCTAGCATCCAGCATTCCTAGCATCCAGCATCCTAGCATCCCAAGCATCAATCCAGCATCCTAGCATCCCAGATCTTAGCATCAAGCATCCCTGCATCCTAGCATCCTAGCATCCTAGCATCCCAGCATCCTAGCATCCCAGCATCCTAGCATCCCAGCATCCTAGCATCCTGCATCTAGCATCCTAGCATCTGCATCCGATCCTAGCATCCTAGGCATGCATCATAACATCATCCTAGCATCCTCTAGCATCCCTGAGCATCCTTAGCATCCCCAGCATCCATGCCAGCATCCTAGCAAGCATCCCAACATCCCAGCATCCTAGCATCCTAGCATCCCTGATCCTAGCATCCCAGCATCACAGCATCCTGCATACTAGCATCCCAACATCTAGCATCCCGATCTAGCATTCAGGCAATCCTGACTCCTGCATCCTAGGATCCCAACATCAGGCTCTAGCATTCCCAGCATTCCCTAGCATCCCATGCATCCTAGCATCCCGCATCCCAGCATCCCCAGCATCCCGGCATCCTAGCATGCCCCGCATCCAGATCCTAAGCATCCAGCATCTAGCATCCCGCATCCTAGCATCCCAGCATCCCCGCATCCGCATCTTAGATTTCCAGATTCCCAGCATCCCCGCATCCTAGCATCCCATGCATCCTGCATCCCTGCATCCTAGATCCCAGCATCCCAGCATCCGCACCTAGGATCCAGCATCCCAGCATCCCGCATCCTGCATCCTGATCCTGCCATCCCGCATCCTGTCATCGAGCATCCTAGCATCCCAGCATCCCAATCCCGCAGCATCTACATCCAAGCTATCCAGCATCCTAGCATCCTTGGCATCTAGCATCCCAGCATCCTAGCATCCCCTGCATCCTAGCATCCCAACATCCTTAGCATCCAGCATCCTAGCATCCCAGCATCCTAGCATCCCAGCATCCTAGCATCCCAGCATCCTAGCCTGCCCATGCATTTTCCTGCCTCCACAGATTCCTTAGATTCCCCGATCCCAGCATCCAGGCATCCCCGCATCCCTGCATCATCCTAGCATTCCCCGCATCTAGCATCCCTGCATCCTAGCATCCCAGCATCTAGCACATCCCAGCCATCCCGCATCCCAGCATCTAGCATTCCGCATCCCAGCTGCCCCCGCATACCCAGCATCCTAGCATCCCAGCCATCCTTAGATCCCTGCACTCCTAAGCATCCCAGCATCCAGCATCCAGATCCCAGCATCCCAAGCATCCCCGCATCCTAGACGCATCCCTGCATCCTGCATTCTCCCAGCATCCTAGCATCCCTGCATCCTCACGCTCCAGCATCCCAGCATCTGCATCCAGCATCCTAGCATCCCAGCATCCTAGATTTCCTGCATCCTAGATCCCAGCATTCTTAGATCTGCATCCTAGCATCCCAGCATCTAGCATCCCTGCATTCCTATCAATCCAGATCCTAGCATCCAGCATCCTAGCATCCCTGCATCCCAGCATCCTAGGCATTCCAGCATTCCCAGATCTAGCCATTCCAGCATTCCTAAGCATCCCAGCATTCCTAGGCATCCCTGCATCCAGCATACCAGCATCCTAGCATCCGCTGCATTCCTAGCACATCCCAACATTCCTAGCATCCCAGCATCCCAGCATCCCAGCATCCTAGCATCCCTGCTCCCTAGCCATCCAACATCCCAGCATCCTACATCCCAGCATCCTAGCATCCCAGCAATCCTAGCATCCCAGCTTTCTAGCATCCCTGATCCATAGCATCCCAACATTCCCTAGCATCCCAACTCTCTAGATTTCCCAGCTCCTAGACATTCCCAACATCCTAGCATCCCAACATCCTAGGCATCCCAACATCCTTAGCACCAGCATCCTAGCATCCCCAGATCCCAGCATCCTAGCATCTCCCAGCAATCATAGCATTTCCCAAGCATCTGCATCCCTAGCATCCCGCATCCTAGCATCCCTGGCATCCCAGCATCCCCAGCATCCTAGCATCCCGGATCCTCATCCCTGCATTCCCAGGCATCACCTAGGGCATCCCTGCATCATGAGCATTCCCTAGCATCCCTAGCATCCCTGCATCCAGGCCATCCCCAGCATAACCTAAGCCTTCCTCCAGATCCTGCATCCTGCATTCCCGCATCCTAGCATTCCCTGCATCCCAGCATTCACCTCGCCATCCTGACAATCCCGCAATCCTACAGCATCACCTGCATCCCGGCATCACCAGAATACTAAGCAATCCCAGACATCTAAGCATCCCAGCATAACCAGACAATACCTAAGCATCCCGGACATCACAGAACATCCCTAGCATCCCAGAAATGCCAGCTACTAGCATTCCCTGCCATCCGAGGACGTTGCTAAACTCCATGTGCTTTCGCATATTATTAAGTACCTTTACATTTTTCTGACGCCGTTTTCCGTCCATATTGTACTGATTCGCAAAAACATTATTATTTTCTCCCTATCTCTCTCTCTCTCTCTTTCAATTAACGACGCAAGATTCTTGTTCTATATTATCGTGTTTTCGATCGTTTCCTTCGTTTTCCCTTATCCATCCTGAACAAAGAAAATTTAGTCTTTTTTGGTGACAATATCCTCGTAACCACTTAACCAAATCATTCATCTAATATCCTTCAGCATCTAATTCCTTCCGTCTAGTCTATTATCATCCCATACCCCTATCCTATCCTTCCAATTTATCATCATTCTATTATCGCCTTTATCATACTAATTGCTTTTTCGAATCGCGTGATACATTCCGTTTGTTAATCTATGTCATTTGGTTCCATTATTGTTTTTTTCTCTCTTTGATGTATCCTTATCATTTTAATGGCTGATATATCGACAAGTATATATATATGTATTATATTATGTAATATATATATGTGTGTATGTATATATATATGTGTGTGGTTGTGTGTGTGTGTGTGTGTGTGTGTGTGTGTGTGTGGTGTGTGTGTGTGTGTGTGTGTGTGTGTGTGGTGTGTGTTGTGTGTGTGTGTGTGTGTGTGTTATTATTTATATATATATATATAATATATAATATAATATATATATATATATTATTATGTGTGTGTGTGTGTGTGTGTGTGTGTGTGTGTGTGTGTGTGTGTGTGTGTGGTGTTTGTGTGTTGTGCAAACACACACATACACACACACACACACAACAACACACAATACACAACACACGCACGCACGCACGCACGCACGCACACACATATATGATATATGTATATGTTATGTATATAACATATACATATATTCATCTACATATTGGCGACGTTTTTTGTAATATGATTTTTGTCTGTAACCACAAAACATTTCCCCCCAAAAAAAAAAAAAAAAAACACCCTGCAAATGGTAAAGATTATCACAAATTTACACACAAATCGTCACATAATAAGTCAAATCTGCAGAGGCTGAATTTAAACTAGGCTAACCCGTATTTGCAAATTCCTTTCCATCCTTTATTTTTTTTTTCTGTTATGTCCGGATATCTCAAAAGTTATTTTCTTCTGTATATCCTGGCATGTTTTTTTTTTCATTTTTTTTTATTTTATTTTATTTTTATTTTTTTTTTTTTTTTTTTTTTTTTTTTTTTTTTTTTTTTTGATCGAATCGGTTTTACTATTCCTGGAAGCGGCGACAATGGCGTGATAATCCTCTATATATGTTTTTTTTCCTCGTTTTGTTTTGTTTTCTATTTTCTATATTTCGATTGTATTATAAGTCTATTGTTGATTTTCTTCCCTTCATAATATTTTTCTTTCTCTTCTCTTTCTCTTTCTTTCTCTTCTCATTTACTTTCTCTCTCTTTCTCTTTCTATCTGCTCTCTCTCTCTCTCTTCTCTCTCTCTATTTACCTCTCTCTCTCTCTCTCTCTCTCTCTCTCTCTCTCTCTCTCTCTCTCTCTCTCTCCTATCTCTCTCTCTCTCTCTCTCTCTTCATTCTCATCACTTCACTTACTCCTTTCTCTCTCTCTCTCTCTTATCTTTTCTAATTTTTTCTTTTTTTTCTCTCTCTCTCTCTACTCTGATCTATCCTTCTTTTCTTATTTTTACTCCTCTCTCTTTCCCCTATTCTTCTATTCACGATAATTCTTTTATCTTCCATCCATGTATGTTTCGAAATAGGAAATCCCGCCGTCCGTGTCACCTCGAACGTTCCCCCCCCCCCTCTTCCCCCCTCCCCCCTCCCCCCCGCGGTCTAGAACAGAACCATAAGTGCGATTTTTTATTATGGAATAGATAGCATCATCTAAACTTTGGTAACTCATTTTTTTTTTATTTTTTTTATTTTTTTTTTTTTACAAGCAACACATTTACATACTCACTCGCACCTCCCTCCTCGCCCTCCCCTTCCCACCATCCCACGCCTAACCGCNTTGCAAAAGCGAATTTCAGATTGGCGAATATATGGCATATATTGCATCGGTCTGGGGCTATATCCGAGGCTGCTGAAACAACTAGCTTATCGGTTCCTTTCTGACTCTTCGGTTATCGTCATTTCCAGCGCGGTTCCGATAATATTTGCATTATTGTTTTAGCGTTTTTTTTTTTTTTTTGTCTCGTGTAGGTGTATGAGTGGGTGGATGGGTGGGTAGGTGTGTTTCTGTGTGTGTGGGGGGGGGTGTATGGGTGTGTTTGTGCGTGTGTGTTTGTGTGTGGGGTGTGGTGTGGGGTGTGTGTATGGGTGTGTGTATGTGGCGTCCTTGGTTGTGTGTGTGTGCGTGTGTAGTTTTATGACATTAATATGCGTGTGAATCCTGTTAGCTTTTGGTTGTATAGAAAAATAGAAATTAATAAGGACGCGTGATGTCTGAAATTATGAAAGGGAAAATTTATAAAAAGAGAGACAAAAAAAACAAGAAACACACATACGCAAACACATACACACATTCATTAATCTATTCATTGCATGGACGAGGGACAGCGCAGGCATTTTTGGGGGGAAGTCGATGTGAATTAATGAATTTGTAATAAACTAATCTGCGTGTGTGCAATTCCGTGTGTCTGTGTGTGTGTTGTGGCAGTCTCTGTGTATGTGTGTGTGTTGTGAGTTCTCTTGTGTATGTAGGTGTGTGGTGTGTAGTGAGCCCTTTCTGTGTATGTGTGTGTGTAGAGTCTCTGTGAATGTGTGTGTGTGTGTGAGTCTCTGTGCTATGTGTGTATGATGTGTGCGAGTCTCTGTGTATGTGTGTGTGTGTGGTGCCGAAGTCTCTGTGTATGTGTGTGTGTAGCTGCGATCTTCTGTTGTATGTGTGCATGTTGGTGTGCCTATTTAACTCACAGCCGTCTAGTTATTCCTTTCCATTTCTGTGACAGGGTATTTTAATCCAAATAATGTATAGGCTAGCAGTATAAAATAAAATAAGTATAAGTATCAAATGTACACTATGATTGGTGCAGGTTATATTTCGCATGATTGGAAGTATTGTTCGTGATTGGATCAAAGAATGGGATGGTGTGTAATGGTATAGGTTATATATATATATATATATATATATATATATATATATAAAATATAGCTTGATGAATATATATATAGTATATATATATATATATATATATATGAGAGATATATATATATATATATATATATATATATATATATATATATAATATATATATATATATATATATATATACATATAATGCATACATACATACATACATATTTAATATATATATATATATATATATATATATATATATATATATATATACATAATATATATTATATATATATATATATATATAATATATAAATATATGTATATATATATATATAAGTATATATACTATATATATATAATATATATATATATATATATATATATATATATAATATATATATATATATACATATATTATATGTATATATATATATATACATATATTATATATATATAATGTATATATATATATATATATATATATATATATATATATATATATGTATATATATATATATATATATATAAATATGTATATGTATGTATTATATATATATATATATATATATATATATATATAATATATATATATATATATATATATATATATATATATATATATATATATATCGCATGTGTATAAGTGTGTGTGTGTGTGTGTAAGATTACTGATTCATCAATACATGATATAAGCAAGTGAATTTCCATTGATCAAAAAGCCAAAACCAAACCCGCATGTATACCTTTCACACGAAGCAGACAATTCAATCTATTTTCACCGAATGTCCCGCGAGAGAGCACATACTTTGGCCAGGCATGCACACTGCAACAAAACTCATGACCAAAACTCGTTATTTGGGGGTTTGAGGTCACGTCCCTAACGCATGCATAGAGAGAGAGAGAGGTCTGTCATGATCGGATTTTACAGGCATGGAGTTAGAAAGGGCGGGGCTGAGTGAGAGAGAGAGGGGGGGGGGGGGGTAAGAGAGAAGAGAGAGAGAGAGAGAGAAAGAGAATGAGGACGAGAAAGACAGAGAAACATACATAGAATGAGGACGAGAAAGACAGAGAGAGAAAGAGAAAGAGAGAGAGAGAGAGAGGAGCGAGCGAGCGAGAAAGGCAAAAAAATTCAGGCAGCTCTCAACGAACCAGGAAGAGGAGGACGCAACAGCGCGGCATAAGTGCAGGTGAACCCTCAAGTCGAAGATCTGCGCAGAATGTATCATCCTAACTTGACTCCCACTTTACAAAATCAAGCGAAAATCTCCCAAAGTAACATTTTGATATCCAGGAAGAAGGCACAAGTACATGCGCAGATATCGCATTAATGGCTGTCCTTCAAAATGACTTTCGCAGTTGACCACGCCTACTTGAGGGAACCCGCCAATGGGATGAGAGAAACAAACTCATACTTTTATTTTATTGTTGTTATTATGATAATTATTATCACTGTTATTATTAGTAGTATTGTTATTATTACTTCTACTATTATCCTTTTCTCATTATAATGATTATCATTGTTATTATCATTATTATCATTATTACTACTATTATCCTTTTTCTTATTATCATTATTATTATTATCATTATTGTTATTATCA